AAACAAAGGAATAAATGTAGAAAGAATATAATAGGTTTAAAAAAATTAAAATTATAAAAAAGAGAAAAAAAAAACAGAAGAAAGAAAAAGGGGAAAAAAAAAAGGAAAATTCCACAGAACTGCAAAAGTCCAATGAAGAGGCAGAGGTTTATCACAACAGTAAAAAATGTTATTGAGGAAAAAAAAAAAAAGCTCAAAAGCTTAACTAGATTTCAAAGTGCCCATAAAATTGACAACTGCAACAGAGGGGCAAAAAGAAGGGGAAAAAAAGATTTAAAAAATCCAAAAGAATCTACAAAACAAGTCAAAACACAAGAAAAATAAATGTTCTTCTTGAATCACTGCTCAAGAGTTCTTTCCCTTGCTGGGAGTCGCAGTCCACCTCACCTCCCTGGCATGCCCTCCAACACTCTGCTGATCTCTGGACCTACTGTGGGGGCAGCTCAGATTCTAATCTGGTCCTTCTCCTGTATGTTCTTGCTTGCAATGTCCACAGCTATCAGAACTAGTGATTTCTTTTGTGGGAGCTCTCAATGAGCTTTTATAAAGACACAGAGTCTGCCTAGCTAATCGTGTGGATTTAATGCACAGCTTGAACAGCTGGTGGGAAGGTTTTGGGTCTTTTTCCTTAAACACACTGCCCCTGGGTTTCAACTGTGGTTTTATTTTCATCCGTACATGTGGGTCATCCACTGGGGTTTGCTCCAGAGGACTTGGGTTTGCCCTGTGAGGGTCAAGTGTGGAGATGATGCAGCTGCTTGGGTCGCAGGGGTTCTGGCAGCACCAGGTGTTTAGGAGAGCTGGCGGCTAGGGCAGCAGGAAATACAGTACTCTAGAAGGATATGGCAACCAGTATTGGCCAATACGCTCCAGTATTCTTGGCTGGAGAACCCCCCCACTCCCTGACAGAGAAGCCTGGCAGGCCAGTCTACAGGGTCGCAAAGAGCCCAGACACAACTGAAGCGACCCTGCATGCACAGATGCAAGACTTTTTTTGCCTGTGGCAGCTCTGCCCGTGACAGCTCTGCCCGTGACAGTTGGACATGAAGGTGGCTCAGCTGCTTGGCTTGCGGGGACCCTGGCGGCGCTAAGTGTGCAGGGACACGGACTGCCTCCGCTGCAGGAGGTATGGCCCGATCAGAGTCTTTTTTCGAGCCTCTTGTAGCTGGTGATCAGTAGGCCTCTTTGGCCAGTCTTTTTCTGCAGCTCCACCTGTTCAGCACCTAGAGGGCTCCCTTGCCTGGGGTCCTTTTCTGCTACTCGGCACGTCAGGCACACAGAGGGGCCTCCCGGGCTGGGGTCTTACTCTGTAAGTCAGTGTGCCAGGCACTTCAAGGGGCACCCTGGGTCAGGCGCTACTCTACAGTTTGGCACATCAGTCACTTAAAGGGCACCCTGGATGGGGTCCTACTCTGTAGTTCAGGGCACCAGGTGTTTGATGGGCCAGCCTCTCCATTGTTCAGCTGCCAATGGTGGAGTATGGAGAGAGAGGCTATGGTGATGGCTGCAGCCCCTACGTGTGACTCAGCCGTATCCCTTGCTTCCATGGCTGCCTGGCTTTCCTCCACAGGCATGTCCCACCACAATCTCCTCCCTCCTATCCCCTCAATCCATCTCTCTGCAGTCAACAGCAACCCTTACCCTGGCTGCTCCACAATCCCTAGGCTCCATCTCCCAGCAGCTGAGCCTTCCAGGGGACCTGCATCCCTGTGTGGGGTATGTATGGCTGTGGCAAGGACTGTCTGATTCTCATTCCACTTAGGCCGTCACAGATCAGCTTCCTCACTCTCAGCCTTAAATGTTTCCCCTCTGACTCAGACAATTGCCCTGATGTGGAGATCGGACCCCTGCTTCAGTTCCCCCTCTCGCCAAGGGCAGGTCCAGTCCTACTAACACTCCTGTTTCTCCCCCTAGTTCCTTCATCCTACCGAGTTTTGTATGGTTCTATATATTCTTTTCCGCTGGTCAGGTGCTCCTGTCTGCTCTCAGCTGGTGTTCTGTGTGCACTTCTGTGTCTGAAGGTGTGTTCCCGATGTATCCGTGGAGAGAGATGTACTCCATGTCCACCCATTCCTCTGCCATCTTGTACTGCTCCTCTGACCATCCTATTTTAAATTGCACCCCCCCAACTCCTCTCACCAACCAACACCTTCCGAACTGCCCATCCTACTTTACTTTTGCCCATGGCACTTATCAACTTCTAACCTACCATATAATATACATACTTATTACTATGCCAATCTGCTTAACTTACTAAAAGGTAAGCTTGATAAAGGCAGAAATCTTTTGTATATTTAGTCATTGTTTAAACCAAGGCATTTAAGATACTTCCTGGCATATTACAGGTTCTCAAAAAAATATTTGTTGATTGAAGGACTAAAGGAAGAAAGGAATGAAAAACATCACTTGGTCATCTGCAGTAGATTTCACCAAATCCACATTAAGTGGTTAAACAGATGAACATAAAATATCTTTCCAGGGAAATTACACTGTTATATAATTTTGCTTTTTAGACACTCATTAAATATGATATGCATGTGTATACTCATCTGTATAGAAAGATACATAGACACAGATATAATCTTCTACTGTAATACATGTAGGTTAGTTCCAGAATTGTCACTGGGTAACCTTGGGCACGTTCTTATAGTTTTGAGCCTCCAATCAACTCTTACATATAAACTGAAAAGTTGAAATTCCGCTTTAGAAAACTATGATTCTTTATTTACAAATACTTATGGGAAAATAAAATGTGATCAATTATGACTTTAAAAAATGAAGCCTATTACCATATATTAACTACAGTCCATTAAATAGACATCAAACAAAATTTTGGAAATAAAGTTTGTCTGAGAAATATGTAAATCAAAATAATACCTTTGCTACAATCATTAAGAAACTGATATATTCCCAATATCCTCTTCTGAAACTCCATAATTTTAACAGTTTTTGGGAAAAGAAGAAATACATTTTATGCTAACTGGATAAAATGAATTAATTTCAGAGATATTAAAATGATTTTTAAACATGCCTTAGAGAAAACACTGAGGAATAGCAATAGTCACATTTATCGAAGGCTTTTAGGAAAAGGATGAGGAGAGCGTGGCAACCACTCCAGTGTTCTTGCCTGGAGAACCCCCATGGTCCATGGAGTCACAGAGTCAGACACGACTGAGGGATGAAGCACAGCACAGCAAAGGAATACTGAGCCTGGAGCTGCAATCTATAGGGTCGCACAGAGTTGGACCCAACTGAAGTGACTTAACAACCTAACACTGTAACTGAGGCTGTGAAGCTACAACTAGGGATCTCAGCTCCTCTGCATCATTCCAGCACTGTTCCTTAGTTAGGATATGGCTGTGATGTTATGCTTGCGATGCCTGACTTCTACCCTAGTTCAACATTAGCTTAGCTTGCTGAATGAAGAAAACTGTTGGTGCTCACTGAGACTGAAGATTAGTTAGCTGTTTATAAACCTCACCCTTGTTCCTTATTCTCCAGAAATAGTTAACCAAAGATTTATGACTTAGATAATGTTCCAATCACAAGTGAGACTTGATAGCTACTTGGAATTGTGTGATCAAGACAATTATCTCTGAAAATAGAAGACAGCCCCCTCCCTATGAGCACCGTAGCCCTTTCCTCTTTCCCCTATGTAATCTCCAAGCAAAACCTGGCAAGTTGGGAGCTGGCTTTTTGGAACATACTCCCACCTTTCTTTTCAGAATTGTCAGCCTCCTCAATAAAGCCATATTTCCTTTTAACCAACACTCTCAGTATTGGATTCTTGAATGATAAGCAGCTGAACAGGAATTCAGTAACAATATCATGACCTGTGCCATGTAGTATCCTAAGTATTTTAAATATTAGCAATTTTAATTCTTACAGTAAACATATTAAGTAGGTACTACTGCTATCATCTTTTCATAGATAAATAAAATATGGTACAAAATGTAAGTAATCTATCCAAGTTCTCAGAAGTATACGCTTCTAGGCTGTCTGATTCCAGAATTTGTGCTCTTGTCCCACTGCTATCATCTTTTCATAGATAAAGAGTATGGTAAAAAATTTAAGTTATCTATCCAAGTTCTCAGTAGTATATTCTTCTAGGTTGCCTGATTCTAGAATTTGTGCTCTTGTCCGCCTATCATAAACAGATAGTAGAATGACACTGTGGGAAGAACTACCAACATTTAAGAAGTCCCCTCTTAAATTTTGAATTTAAATAGGAAAAAAATTGTTAGATAAAGTTTATTGCTTGTTTTAAATAAAGAAATTTATTTCAATATCACTGGTTAAGAAAATACTGTTTAAGCAATCAACTAATTCATGAACTAAAATTTCTTATCGAAAGCTACAAATCAATAAATAACTAGAGAAACAACCTATTTCAAATAAGTAAGAAATTAAAAATAATGAAAAGAAAACCTTTTGTCTAATAATGATAAATAAGAGAGGGTATGTATAAATGCACATTTAATCCAAAGATAAAAATTGTTTTTTACTATACATTAGGTTTAAGAATGAAAACTGACAAAATTGTTAATCCTGAGCCATTGATTTACCTTCTAGTTTTTACCTGAACCCCTCCAAGGTTTCTACTGTAGGAGAAAACTTTCCTCAGAAAGTATCATCTATCCCAACTAATAATAGGAACCCCTCTACCATTAAAAAAAAAAAAAGTTACTGTGTTCACTGTGTTCAGTTGTATACTGTTAAGAAGAAAAGAAAGAGGGAGAAAAGAAGGGTGGTTTGTCAGCAAAAGCAACTTAATGGAATTGTTAAGGAGACTTGGAAAAGGAATGTTTGCAAGTAAAATGGTGTAAGCTTAAGACTCCAAAAGGTACCAGGATATTCTCTACTGATAGAATATGGAAAAAGAATGTCAAAAGTTTGTTCAATTAGTTACTTTATCTGAAAAGACAATAATGATTGTGAATAATCTAAATAGAACATAAAGGCAAGGAATAAGAGAAATTTGCAATGATTTAGCTTCTTACTTCTTTGCTCTTTGCAACTTCTGCAATGGCAGCAGTCCTTTGCTTTTCAAATTCATCATTATCATTTGGAGGTTTGACAGGCATTGTCACTTGTAATGTCTTTCTTCGATCAAGTTCTCTGCTATCCACTTGGATATGAGACACACACTTCTGGTAATAATAAATAAAAACAAAATGCTTCAGTAATATCAGAAGGGATTCAACTGTTTGTAAGAAAGTGTATATCTTCAAAAGAAGTATCTGAATCACAACAAGTAAGAGCCCATAAAAATATAATTCCATCCCCAGATTTAAAAATAAAGGTAGAAAACTAACTGAAGTAACTTTAACTGTAACTAGTAAATGAAAGCTACACTAAATATAGCCATTTAAAAGGGGGGAGCATATTTAAAACCTTCATTAAACCAAAAGTTCTAAGCTTCATTTTAGGATAATGATTTAAAATAATTTAACATTTCAAACAGTCTAGACTATTGCACAAGAAGAAAATTTGTTTTTTTTTTTTATTAAGAGCTGATTTCCACATTATGTCACAATATCCATGAGGGTTAAGTAGTATAGTTACTTTTACATATAGAATGATGTCTTTCAACTTATAAACCAAATCAAAAGCTAAAAACATACTCTCTCCCCTAATCAGGCTGCAAAGTTGTGGGATTTTAGTCTCTTGAGAGAAATGAAGAAAGCCCTCAATGATTAAAATAAGCCCTGAATTCAATGCTCCCTTTTAATCCTAGCAGCAAAACTCCTATAAAAGGAACCTTTTTCAACTCAATAATTTTAAAGAGGAAGAAAAATATACTTTCAAATAAATTCAAATAAATACAGATGTTCAATAATACACCTATAACATAGCTGATTCCAACACACAGCCAGCATACTCTGTCTTTAACCAATGTACAAGGCTAAGATGCTGAATAAGAGATTTTCACAATGGACTTCATAAACAAATAACATTATTGAAGCTGTAACTTTTAACATACTTCCTAATTCCAAAAAGTAGAGCTACTTTTACATATAGAAAGATGTCTTTGAACTTATAAACCAAATCAAAAGCTAAAAACATACTTTCTCCCTCAGTCAGGCTGCAAAGTTGTGGGATTTTAGTCTCTTGAGACAAATTCCAGTAAATCCTAAAGAAAATCAGTCCTAAATATTCATTGGAAGGACTGATGCTGAAGCTGAAATCCCAAAAATTTGGCCACCTGATGCAAAGGACTGACTCATTCGAAAAGACCCTGATGCTGAGAAAGATTGAAGGCAGGAGGAGAAGAGGACAACAGAGGATGAGATGGTTGGATGGCATCATCAACTCGATGGACACGAGTCTGAGCAAGCTCCAGGAGTTGGTGATGGACAGGGAAGCCTGCCATGCTGCAGAACATGGGGTCACAAAGCATCGGTCACAACTGAGTGGCTGAACTGAACTCCAAAAAAAAAAAAAAAAAAAGAGCTATATATACTTTAAATTCTTGAAAATAATTAAAAGTCTCTGTTAGCAATTTATGAAAGAAATATTATCCCCAAAATGTTTATGAGGAAAGAACATTTTTAAAAATAGCACTTATTATTTTCAAATATGTTAATAGAATCTTTTCATTCTTGGGATTTTTCACTATAGAAATGAGAATAACATCAGCATAGATCATGCCTCCTTTTATATTGAATTTCACATGTTCTTAAGCACAATAAAAAATGGCGTATGTTTTTAAATACTTTCAAAATAGCCATGATGCAAGAATGAATTATTTAATTTTGAGTAGATCCTCCAAAAAAGGGTTTTGAAGAGGATGTCATTCAACTATTCTGTTCATTTATTTCCTGATCAACTCAATATGTTTCTCATACCAAATCTTTTAAAATTGTTACTGAGATGTACATCTCAATTTCCTAGCTGCTATGTTCACAACTTATCTTCACTTTTTAAGTCAGCACTCTTGAAGGAAATAAAGCTCAAGTGCAAGGCAGGTTACCAAGAGCTAAATTTTAGTAGCATCACATGACAAAGAACAAGCAGTCAGAGGGATTACTCTCGGATTCTTCAGGTATAAAACAGGGACAAGCTAAAGGAGATTTTTTTGAATGCAATCTGATGTTTAGCACAACCAGAAAGATAAGATACTGGCCAGCTGAGGAGCTACCTTGAGGTAACATTCTACAGCAAGGTGGTTGAAAATTAGGAAATAAAAATGTTTCGCTTACGTGAGAGAAAGATCAGGGCTGCCCGTGGTGGAAAAGGAAAATACCAACTGGAAATAATATTAAGTCTTTGACTAAGATGGGTCTTTGGATGAAGGCAGATGAATAGAGTCTCGGAAGGGACAGCTGGGAGAGTAGGTCCTCCTAAAGTGCAATGATGCCCTTCCTTGTTCCAACTTTTTTGTCTCCTATCAATTCTTCTGTTGATGCTTTTATTTTTCCTCCCTCTTTTGTTTTTATCACAACCATAGTGTATCTTTTTTTTATTTTTTATCACAACCATAGCCTCTTTTGTTTTTAATGAACAAAGTGAGAAATTATAGCATACTTTTGTCTTCTTACATTTGCATTTCTCTCTCTCTCAAAAAACAAAGCCCCCACCACCATCTTATCTTAGTCTTAAATTGACATCGGGTGTGTCTCTTAACTCTTTGAATCTTTGAATCTTTGGGTTAACTTTTTTTTTCTTTTAAGAAAAGAATCTACACCAAAACTTTAATTAAAATGAAGGGAAAAAACACAATTATCAATTTCGTATAATTAATATATTTCCACGTACTCCTATTACCACTGAGTGAAGAGGTCAGCACAAAACTGAGCACAACGTGAATATAAATGAAAAATACTTTTTGCTGATTAAAATGCATCTGCCAAAATGAAAGTCATTACCTGTCCAAAAGGCACAAAAGGAGGTGGTCCACCTTCGGTTCCAATATTGCTTCTATTGTGTTTTGACAAGCTCTGTGAGAAAAGTGAGTTATAAAAGAGATTTATACATTAAAAATATATTTAACAACACTTATGCACAAGAAATCCAATTATTTTAGTAGATTGCTAAAACAGAAAAAAAAAAGCCTATTAATTATTTTAAACTATATAAAACATATGCAGAGTTCAAGAAAATAGCAAGGAGAGATGAGAAGGCCTTCTTCAGTGAACAATGCAAAGAAACAGAGGAAAACAACAGAATGGGAAAGACTACAGATCTCTTCAAGAAAACTGGAGCTATCAAAGGAACATTTCATGTAAGGATGAGCACAATAAAGGACAGAAACCATAAGGACCTAACAGAAGCAGAAGAGATTAAGAAAAGGCGGCAAGAATACACAGAAAAACTATACAAAATGTATTAATGATCTGGATAAAGACAATGGTGTGATCACTCATCTAGAGCCAGACATCCTGTGTGTGAAGTCAAGTGGGCCAGAGGAAGCATTACTATGAACAAAGCTAGAGGAGGTGATAGAATTATAGCTGAGATATTTATAAATCTAAAAGATGATGCTGTTAAAGTATCAATATGTCAGCAAATGTGGAAAACTCAGCAGTGGCCACAGAACTGGAAAAGGTCAGTTTTCATTCCAATTCCAAAGAAAGGCGATGCCAAAGAATATTCAAACTAACACACAATTGCACTCATTTCACATGCTAGCAAAGTAATGATGAAAATGCTCTAAGCTAGACTTCAACAATATGTAAACTGAGAACTTTGAGATATTCAAGCTGGATTTAGAAAAGGCAGAGGAATCAGAGATCAAAGTGCCAACATCTGCTGGATCATAGAAAAAGCAAGAGAATTCCAGAAAAATAATTGCTTCATTGACTATGCCTCTGACTGTGTAGATCAGAACTAACTGTGGAAAATTCTTAAAAGATGGGAATACCAGACCATTCTACCTGTCTCCTGAGAAACCTGTATGCAGGTCAAGAAGCAACAGTTAGAACCCGACATGGAGCAACAGACTGGTTCAAAGTTGGGAAAGGAGTACAATACGGCTGTATACTGTCACCCTGCTTATTTAACTTCTATGCAAAGTGCATTATCAAAAATGCTGGGCTGGATGAGTCACAAGCTGGAATCAAGATTTCCAGGAGAAACATAGCAACCTCAGGTATGCAGATAATAGCACCCTAATGGCAGAAACTGAAGAGGAACTAGAGAGCCTCTTGATGAGGGTGAGAGAGTGAAAAAGCTGGCTTAAAATTCAACATTAAAAAAAAAAAAAAACTAAGATCATGATATTCAGTCCCATCACTTCATGGCAAACAGAAAGGGAGAAAGTAGAAGAAGTGACAGATTTTATTTGTTTTATTTCATTTCTTGGGCTCTGGTGACTGCAGCCATGAAATTAAAAAAGATGCTGTTCCTTAGAAAGAAAGCTATGTCTAGGTTTGCCACCTAGACAGTGTATTAAAAAGCAGAGGCATCATTTTGCCAACAAAGGCCCATAGAGTCAAAGCTACGGTTTTTCCAGTAGTCATGTATGGATGTGAAAGTTGGACCATAAAAGAAAGCTGAGCACGAAAGAACTGATCTTTTGAACTGTGGGGCTAGAGAAGACTTTTGAGAGTCCCTTGGACTGCAATGAGATCAAACCAAACAATCCTAAAGAAAATCAACCCTGAATATTCATTGGAAGGACTGATACTTAAGCTGAAACTCCAATATGTTGACCACCTGATGTGAAGAGCCAACTCAATGGAAAAGACTCTGATGCTGGGAAAGATTGAAGGCAAAATGGAAAAGGGGGCAGCATAGAATGAGATGGTTGGATGGCATCACTGACTCATGGACATGAGTTTGAGAAAACTCTAGGAGACAGTGAAGGATAGGGGAGGCAGGTGTCTTAGAGTCAATAGTGTCACAAATAATCAGACAGGACTTAGGGACTGAACGACAAGAGTCCCTGCATTATATAAAGTATATTTTGCATTTTATATCATTATATTAAACAGCACTAAGACTAAAAACAACAATAATATTCAGTTTAAAGAACAATTTAAACTGTATATGAATATCGTATTTCTTGATAAGCTGTATTTAAGATGTTAATCTATTTTTAAAAAACACACAAATGCATAAAATAATTGAGAGGTCCTTTCCCTCGTTTGATTTAAGACATTAAAAAAAAAAAGACCAGCCAAAGCAAAAAAATCAAGGTCATTTTATGCTATGACTTTCTTATAACTCACATAAGCTTCCAATAATACCATTTTCCAATACACATTATATAGTAAAAAGCATATTACAGGATTTCTACTTTCCATCCTGATGAACGTATAAGAGTTAAGACTTAAATCTCCCTCTACAACTAGGAATATGGACAACACATAAGAAACAAATGTTTTATGACACATGGCAAGAAGTAATGCAGGAATCTAAGTCCAAAGAGAAAGAGAAAAAATAACAGATGAGTTCTGCCTTTCTGAGACATGATGCAGACAGAGAGCACAGAAACCTACGTTGAGAAAATCAGTCTCATAGCTCAAGGTGGACTGAAATAATTGGAAGCCCTGGGGCAGAGGCTTGAAAAAGAGAGTCCCATACAGAAAAGATGCTCCAGAAACCTGCACAGGATCTCCCATAAGTCACTGCTGAGAACTAGGCTAAGCAAAAAACAACAGCAAGTTACAGGTTTCCATTTATACTAGAATTGAACAGAATAAAACATTTAGGGATAAACTAAACAAAGAAGCAGAAGTTCTATGCAATTAAAATTAAAAGATTGCTAAAATAAATTAAAGAAGATATCAATAAATGAAAAGACATGAGAGGGTCATGACTTGGAAGATTTAATGTTAAGATATCAGTACTACTCAAATAGTCTAGAGATTCACTGCAATTCTTATCAAAATCCTAAGAATATTTTTCACAGAAATGGAAAAATCTACACTAAAATTCATATGGGATCTCAAGGGACCCTGAATAGTCAAAATAATCCTGTGAAAAGCTCATACTTTTCGATTACAAAACTTACTACAAAGTTATAGTAATCAAAACAGTGGCAATAAGACAGACTAACCGAATAAAGAACCCAGAAACAGATTCTTGCATGCACTTTGTTGTTGTTCAGTTGCTCAGTTGTGTCCAACTATTTGCAACCCCATGGACTGCAGCACGCCAGGCTTCCCTGTCCTTCACTATCTCCTGGAGTTTGCTCAAACTCGTGTTCATTGAGTTGATGATGCCATCCAACCATCTCATCTTCTGTTGCCCCCTTCTCCTCCTGCCTTCAATCTTTCCCAGCATCAGGGTCTTTTCCAAGAAGTTGGCTCTTCGCATCAGGTGGCCAAAGTATTGGAGCTTCAACTTCAGGATCAGTCCTTCCAGTGAATATTCAGGGCTGATCTCCTTTAGGATTGACTGGTTTGATCTCCATGCTGTTCAAGTCAAGGGATTTTTGATGAAGGTGATAAGGGCATTCATTAGGGAAAGGAGAGTCTCTTCAACAAATGGTGCTGGGAAAATTGGATATCCACATGGAAAAGAATGAAGTTCTACCCTTTACTTACACCATGTTTAAGAATTAATTAAAAATGGATCAAACACTCAAATTTAAGAGCCAAAGAGCTAAACCCATAAAACTTTCACAAGAAAACCCCACTGCTTCCAAAATTTACTCTATGGTTTAGGATTTTAATGTGTACATTTGATTTCTGTGGGTATCACCTGCCAGATGTTCAAGTAATTTGAACGCTCCATGATTTCTCCATCACTATGGTTACCAAAATCAAAAACTATAAAACCAAAGAGAACTATTATCATATTAAGACATTTTCAAACTTTTTCATGGAAATTTTTACTGCCCTCTAAAAAGAAATACTAGAGCTTTTTTTTTTTTTTTTTCCCCAAAAGGCTTTAGAAAGAAATAATAGGGCTTCCCTGGTAGCTCAGTTGGTAAAGAATCCACCTAGAATGAAGGAAACGCCAGTTCAATTTCTGGGTTGGGAAGATCCCCTGGAGGAAAGCATGGCAATCCACTTCAGCTCTTGCCTAGAGAATCCCCATGGACAGAGAAGCCTGGTGGACTGCAGTCCACATGGTCACAAAGAGTTGGATATGACTAAGTGACTAAGCACAGCACAAAAAGAAATACTAGCATGGCTCTCAGAAAACAAAGTGCAAAAACATATAATAAAACATTACAAGGATAATTGTCAAACTACCACTGATCCATGCATGTGTATGTGTGTGTGTATGTGTGTGTGTGTGTGTGTGTGTGAGTATATGTGTTTGTATGTGTATGTTTGCATGTTGGAGATGAGCAATTTCTGAGGAATGTTTGATCTACTTTACAATTAGTGAAGTAGGTTGGTGCAAAAATAACTGCAGTTTTCCACTGATCAACTTTTGCCATTTGATATTGGAATACATGCTTAATTATTAATAGTTTTGGCTGGGTTGGAAAAATTATGTATAATATGTTTGTGTGACTTGAGAACATATTAACACACTTTAAAAAAAATCTCTAAGGATACAATATATCAACTTATAAAAGGAAAAGATCACAAGAAATGGGTGAGATTTCTGGAAACTCACAGTTCATAAACTTGGCTATTTATATGAAACTATCAAATTGCTTTATTTATTACATGTAAGACTCAGGGCCATCACTCTGGAGATACAGGAAGGCTCAGATCCATCTCCCATTAGCTATAATCATAAAATAAGTTTAACAGTTCTCAAAGCCTATTTCCTGATCCATATGGACATAACACTCTCTTATAAGACTGCTAGGTGGATTACATGATATACAGATATAAGAGTCCAGCACAAGGCATACACACTCTTCAACAGATATTTGTAGAACTGAATAAAAATAACAAAAACAGGAATTTTGACCTCAAAAAGCTTACAATCAAAGGATATAAGAAGTAAATATAACTTTATTGCTAGGTAAAAAAAAATAATATGCTTCATATCATGAAAAAAGTATTCTAAGAATTCAATAAAGGAACAGATATTTCACTATGTGAAAAAAAAAGCATTTTGAGTTTAAAATTATGGTCAATTCATGTTGATGTATGGCAAAAACCATCACAATATTGTAAAGTAATTATCCCCCAATTAAAATAATTTTAAAAAATAAATAAATAAAACCAAAATAAAAAAAGCATGGGGACAATATGGTCACGCATGAATTAGGAGAGAAACTGGGACTACCCTGGTTCCAGTGTTTAAGACTGCCATTCCAATTCAGGGGCCAAGGGTTCAACCCCTGGTTGAGAAACTAAGATCTCACATGCCACACATTACAGTCAAAAAATAAAAATAAATAACAATAAGAATAATAAAATATTTTTAAAAAATAAAAGAGAAACTAAGGCGAATTATCTTAAAATTGGGAAAATCTTTCTTCTTTTCCAAAAGAACAACTGAGAAAAGCCTAGAGAATCAAAGAAAGAGTAAATAGTTCCATTTAGCTAAAACAAAACCCATGTGAAAAAAATCAAGAAAGCTGAAAAGATAAACTAGAACTAGGACTAGACTATAAATGACCCTGAATCCCCAACGAAGGTATGTGAAATAAAAGTAGGGTGTAGCATTGGTCTGAGTTATGTTAAAGATACAGAGTATAGTAAATTAGAAAATAGAAAAAGCATATGTGGCAAAACCACCTAAACGGCTACTACAAATAGTCCAGGCCAGAGACTTAAACTACAGTAATATCAATGGAACCTGAGAGCAAGACACTGATGAGAGATCTGACTGCAGTTGACCAACAAAACTGGTGGCTAGAAGCAAAGTAGAAGGATAATTATTAGATAACATAGATGACTAGGAGGATGAAGATACTGTTAACAAAAATGGTGAAAACATCAACTAATGTGACTAGAAAGTGAAATGAAACAAGAATCCTTTCATCATAGTGAAATTCTAATTTGCTTTCACTTGCATCTATGTGTGTTTATAGATAAGAGAAATAGACATTATTTATACATATGCACAAACACTTGTTGTCTGCAGAAAGAATTAAACACAGGTATATTATACATAGGACTTCCCTGGTGGTTCAGTGGTAAACAATCTGCCCACCAATGCAGAAGACGTGGGTTTGTTCCCTAGGTCGGGAAGATCCCGCAGAGAAGAAAATGGCAACCCACACCAGTATTCTTGCCTGGGAAATCTCATGGACAGAGGAGTCTGGCAAGCTATGGTCCATGGGGGTCACAAAAGAGTTGAACATGACTTGGTGACTAGACAAAAGGAATATTATACATAGCTTATAACTGGTATCCTGGCAGTTGTAAAAACTTGTCAGTAAAGACTGACTTATAAAATATGTAATAAAATATAACAAATATTGAAAAAAGGCATCTGTTTTAGAAGAACAATATGCTTAAACAAAGGTAGATAATTTCTATACAGATCACTGTATTCCACTCTATTCAACTCTGGCATAAAGAACTAATTTTACTATTCATTATAGGATGATCCTTTAAAAGAGAGACTATAATAAAAAGAGTGTAATATTTTAAAAGTTCAAACCATTCTTCTTAGTCTACACTTACTCTCTGTAACTCCCATTTCTCGATAAGGTGTTCTACTTCACCGCCAAGAACTGTGGTGTTAGAGTCATTCAAGAGCAGGAATCCATTTTTTATGTCCACAACGCCTGAAAGTTTAACTTTAGTTCCAGGTGGTGTGTTTAGGCTAAAGCAAAGGGAAAAAAAGAGTTAAAACACATTTAAGCTCCTTCCCCAAATTGGAATTCAGTCCCATACTACAACCTAGTAAAATTCTTCAAAATGTACTAATGTGAAAACTATTTTTCAGGTGATGGACTATATAGTGTGAACAGGTCATCAGAGAGGAAGTAGAAGACCAGGTACAAGACTGTCATTTTCTACCTTAATTTTTTTCTATGTATAAAAATATACGGATAATAGAAATCACAGCTCATAAACTTAAAGAGAACAAAAGATGTGAAAGTACTTCCTCGACTCTATCATATTGTATAAATGTAAGCTTTGCTCTTTTTTCCCCTGAGCTTTACAAACCTCATTTTTTAAGGTGTTTAAAAGAAGCCTTTTATTAAGCACAAACAATTTTTAATACATTACCAATACAAATAGGAAAATGTCTTTTAATGAATATGGTATATCAAAAATCTGAAGGTTTTTCTTCATACTGACACAACAAAAATAATCAAATTTGAAGGAGACGTACAAAGCAAAATTTTGCGGACACCACTGTCATTTACTAATAACGGTTGAACTATAGTCTAAATTTACTACATCACCTGGGGAAGAAGGGCAACCATTTTTTTTAGAGAGAATTTTTAAACTCTTATTAGCATCATTCAAAGCTTATTATCAGTTGTTCACCTACAAAATAACAGGTCAGTTCAGTTCAGTTCAGTTCAGTCATTCAGTCATGTCTTACTCTTTGCGACCCCATGAACTGCAGCACACCAGGCCTCCCTGTCCATCACCAACTCCCGGAGTTACCCTAACTAACAGGTCAGGTAAAGCTTTAAAGCAAGTTTTCAGTGCAATGTTTACAGCTCCTTCTTTTAAGATACTTGGAGTCTATGCTCTCAAAGGATGTTAACCAATTCTGCCTTGATAATTACAAGGTGTTAACATGTGGAGAGAAATGTGTAATGGAAAGAATTTCCCATTTTTCCAAACCTCATTTTATACTATGTTAAAAAATTAAATTACAATACAAAAGAGATAACAAATCCGTAAGAAACCGGGACCTTTAACATCTATATAAGCTATGGTAATCCACATAAAACAATGGTCTTTTTGTTAACCATCCAGTTAAAGATCAAATGAGAGTTATTTACTCTAAAGCATACTGACTTCCAAAGGATTTTTCCATAACAGGTTAACATTATCTGATTTGGGACAAACATTATCACACCATGACCCCTTTTACAAAAACCAGAGAAAATATTGTTTATCCTCCTACCAGTCTTTCAGTAAAGGAAAAAATGGAAGAAATCAATTTCATCACACAGGTTTATCCTAAAGTAAAAGCATATATACTAAGCCCCACTGCATCTCTTCAAACATAGCAGCAAGGGGTAAAGAACTGCAAAGAGGAATAAAGACAGTCCTAAAGCACTTAGGATAGATTAGAAAATCATGCTGAAAGGCTTCCACACTGTCACATTTTTAAAAATTTATAAAATCCACTATGTGGTATGTGTGTGTGTGTACTAAGTCACTTCAGTCATGTCTGACACTTTGCAACCCTATAGACTGTAGCCTGACAGGCTCCTCTGTCCATGGGATGCTCCAGGCAAGAATACTGGAGTGGGTGATAGTGCAAAAGCAAACCAATTGGTGGGGGGGATGGGGGGAGGGTGGGGGGTGGTTCAGGATGGGGAGACACATGTTACTCTCCAAGATGGGGAGCACCCTTGGCTGATTCACGTCAATGTATGGCAAAAAACCACCACAATATCGTAAAGTAATTATCGTCCAATTAAAATAAATTAATTAATTTTTAAAAAAGCAAATCAATGAAAGCATTGGTATCTCTGGTTTATTTTGAAGAAAAATGGTTGATAAAATGGTCATTAACAAGAAGAAACAGAATATGCCTATTTTTAAGGTTTCAAAGATCCCATATGGAGTAAAACATTATTTGGTAAAAATTATCCTGAGGACCCCATGCTTAATCATTCTTAGTCATTTTATGTAACTTAACAAAACAAATGGTCATGGACAGTCTTGCCTAACTTAACTCTTAAGTAGAGAGCTATATGGTGATAAATGTAGGAAACTGCACAATGCCTATCAAACTTCAAAATTAGCAACAACTGAATATAGATACACTAAGTGAAGTTTTTCCCAGTTCCAGGTAAACAGCAGATACAGATTTTCTAACTCTATAGTCATCATTTAGGGATAAATTTTAAAAAATAAGCACCAAGAATACCAGGCTGCCCTACTCTTAACCTCTAAAGAAATTATTAATGAATTACAATATTTGCAGAAAACCAATGTGTTCTTTAGAGCCATTTTTTATGTTAGCCAATAATTTCTAACATATTGATAAAATTGCACAGTGTAATGAAATGTAAAAATCACAAATTAGCAATATGAGAAACTATATAAGACCTTAAAAAGTAGGAAGTAAATTACAGGGGCCTTTCCATTATGATAATATATTTTTAAAACCAAAAGCTAATGTGAAAGCAGATAATGAGTTATCTTTATGTAAAATGACTGTACCTTTCCAAACTCATTCTCTAATAGGTTAAGAGGGAAAAGATAGTGAATTATTTTAAGTCAAACATACAATCTCACTAGGATAACTGATAAAGAGTTACAGTCACCAAATTACAATTCTATTCCCACAAATGAATAAACAGGTGCCAAAATTTTAATGTAATTTTTATTATATCACCTTCAGGGTCATAACTTACTCAGAGAGCATATTGCAATTTAACTAATACTTGATTGGCACTCCAAAGTTCCTTTATTCTCTCTCTTCATTGAAATTAAAAAAAAAAACAAAAAACCATGGTATCAAGTGGGGCTGGAGGTACAATAGATGAGTGGAAAGAAGCACCCCAGAGAAATGCAATGCCCAGTGGAGAAAACACATTCTATACCAACTCCTGGTTTATCCTCCCTAGTGAGCTCTTATACCTTCCTTCTAAGACAACCACTAACCACCAAACTTATTTTGAAAATAGCTTTCCAAGTTGTTCACATGGGAGAACACTTCTGTAAGCTATTGCTTCTATAGAACCAAAAGTAGTCATGCTGTTTCAATGATGTGCAAATGAGAAAGAAGCAACATTTTTTATCAACTGTCAAAATGTAATAAATTCAACAAAAGAAAATGGTGAACAGCATAAGAGACTCTCTTCTCTCGGCCCATCTTGTGCTTTCATTTACCACAGAAAAATATACAGCAGTAAAATGAGAGAATGAGCCATTACATAGCAAGTCTTCATTCTCAGTCATTTTTCACTAAATGTGTCAAAGGAGGAATATTTCTCCATAAAAGTAGGAATCATTCTACTCTTCAAAGAAAAGACAACATAATCACAAAGTCAATATACCCCGCTTTGTATATGAAAATCAGCATTTTAGACAAACATACATATTATCTTCTAAGGAAGGAGCCTCCCTCACCAAAGGCATACACTAGCTGAAGGAAGAAAGAATGAATGAGATTGCTGAATGTGGAATACAAGGCCTCAACCTACCGTATCTCCTCCCATATACCACCATGCCAATCACCTAAGCTCCACTAAGTGTAACTTTTCACTCATCTGTTGTCAGGGTACCCTGTCTTTGCATGTGCTATTCCACCCCCCATCTCTCTCAAAATACCTATTCATATTTTAAGTCCCATTCCTGGCTCCCCTAGGTACAGGCAATTTCCTGAACCTCTATTCATTTCAAATTATATATATATTATAATCTGTATGCTCTGTGCTTATCTCATTGCCATATAAGCTACTTGGGGGCAAAATCTAAATTCTTTTTATCTTTGACCCTCCAGCACCAGATAAAAATGTTAGAACAAATGCGTGGGCAGGAAAGAAGTATGGTCTCAGTATTAATATGAAATGGAAAAAGCTCAAGAGACCCTGAGCAGCAAACATAAGCAAAAAAAATGACTAAGAAAATAAAAATGGGAGGGGGACTGTTTGCAAATGTCCATTGAAAATTCCCATCTCAGAAAAAAGAGTTCAAACAGATCTAATGGAGACACTGAGAATAATGGAGACACTTTCCCTTGCTTCTCATTGCTTTTTTCCATTCCAACAGGCATGACTCTAAAAGCCTATTATAAAAACAGGCAAAAGGATTTGGAAATTTTTCCTTAAAGAGTTATTCCTCCTTTTAGACAGTGGAGTAACATACAAACCTCTCTAGCTTCGATCATTTCCCCCAAGAAAACTCATTTGCCTATAACTTTTCTAAAACACTAAAGAGTGTGATGGACACAACTGTCAAGGAAGAAATTGTAACATATTTTTAAAAATTTGGCTCAGACGGTAAAGTGTCTGCCTACAATGCGGGAGACGTGGGTTAGATCCTTGGGCTGGGAAGATCCTCTGGAGAAGGAAATGGCAACCCACTCCAGTACTCTTGCCTGGAAAATCCCATGGACAGAGGAGCCTGGTAAGCTACAGTCCATGGGGTCGCAAAGAGTTGGACACGACTAAGCGAATTCACTTTCACTTTCTGTTCTGAAAATTTTTTAAGATCTAAAATTTAGTGATAAAATTGACAAGATTACTTCCCATGTAAGAACACCTTAAATTTCTGTTTTTGTTATTAATATTAAAGCAATTAAATTCAATTTAAACTATTTCTCTTTACAGATATAGTACAAACTCTCTAATCTATCCTAAAAAACTGTAACATGTACTTAAGAGTTCATTCCTTCTTTTCAAAGGTCTTAGAAACAAAATCCTTTGTGAACTGTACCTTTAAACACAACAAATATACACAATAAAGAGCCAATTACCTTATTTTTGACAAGTAACTAAATTCTACTGCTGTGCAACTTATATGACCATCAGTCATCTGTAAACGCAACATTCTTGGTGCAGCCTGAGATTCTTCATTATCCTTTGGTGCAGCAACATTGCGAATTTTTTGAATTTGCAAAACACATGGACCTTCAAGCTGTCAGAAGACAAAGGAATAAATATCACCTTTAGCCACAGCACTGTTTTCATTTTAATCATTCTCTTTTCCTTAATGGTTATACTTTATTATTTATAATAATATTTCAATTAAATAAGCTCAAAATTTAAACTGTTACATCCATTAGGGGTTTTTTATTTAAAATAAAACTTCGAAAAGGTCTTTTGAAGGATTTTTTAAAATATAATTCTGAACTAATTTTCAGAAAACAAAGGAAAAAAATGTTAGGGAAAAAGTTATTTTCTGAATTAATGTTATATTAAAAGACAGCCTCCCTTTTCCACCCATGTACATTAACAGACATTCTGGAATTAAAGACGTTGGCAATTTTTTAAGGGATATCAACTTTACAACAACAGTGGAAAGGACTGTTTTCTGTTCAAAAGTATCAAGTATACCCTCAGGGGGGCCCCAAGATAGCAGATAAATAGGACAGGGAGACCACTTTCTCCACTATAAATTCATCAAAAGATCATCTGAATGTTGGACAATTTCCACAAAACAACTTGTGAATGCTTGTGGAGGACACCAGACACCCAGAACGGCAGCCCAATCTCTTTGAAAGGAGGTAGGACAAAAAATATAAAAGGCAAAACAGAGACAAAGGATTTAGGGAAAGAGATCTGTCCTGGGGAGAAAGTCATGAAGGAGAAGTTTCCACACAACAGGAAACCCTCTCACAGGCAGGTCAGTGGGGAGCTTTGGAATCTGAGGGCAATGTAACAGGAAGGAAAAAAACACAGAATATGCGCCTAACCACAACTACCAGTGGAAAAGCAGCTCAGACACTCGCATTAGCCAGCAGTGAGTGGCGGCTGGGCAGGGAGGTGTGGGCTGCACTGTCAGTCCTTAGGGTGAGGACCCGGCTTGAATGCCCTGAGGACAATCTGAGGGGGGCCTAATGTGACATAGCAACCCAAATCGCGGCATTGCCAGGGAAACAGAAAAAAAGAAAAAGACCTTTCCCTCTAAAGGTTCTGACACCTCATGGTGACCCCTGGCACACTCATAGAACAAAGGCTTCTGCCCTAGCAAATACCAAAGGAGAACAAGCCAGCTGCTCTTTAGGGCCCTCCCTTCCAGGAGGCAGAGATGCAAGTGTGTGACAGCCAGAGCCGGAAGGCAAGGGGCCACTGCAATCTCAGCACCAGTTGAGACTGCACCAAACTCTTCCACCAAACCATGAGCAGGCTGCCAGTTGCTAACCACATCTTCCTGGGATCCTGAATGGCTGACATCTGCTAGGAGGGTCGCAGCCTGAGATCAGCTCCCCAGAGGAGACACACGGCACACCCGGGACTGCACCTCGGTGGTACACCCGGCAAACCGAGCGGCCGGGCCCAGGGAGGTACGTAAGACACACAGCAAACATGGGACAGTGCTCTTGCCAAGCAACCAGCCACCTGAGCTGCCTGGACCTGGAAGGGGCACAAAACATACAGCTCAGCTGCATCTGTGCCCTTGCAGAGCGCCCAAGAAACTCAGCGGCTTAGACCCGGAAATGTACAAAACACAAGGTCCACTTGGGACAGTGCCCTTGCAAAGCACCCTGGAGCCTGAGCAGTGTGGACTGGAAACTACATGCCACCTTGGCCTGTGGCAAACCAAGTATGGTCCCTCCACTGCGAGCACTCTCCACACATGCAATGTCCCTCGCTCTGCACAGGACAACTAAACAAGTGAGCCTAATTAAGTGGCCACCTTCATCCCCTCGAACCAGAGCGGAACTTATACCCTGAAGAGACTTGCGAAAGAAGCAGCCAAAATAAACAAAGAAGGGGGAAACACCCTGGAGGGGACAAGGTCAACAAACTAAACTCCTGCAGTAAATGCTGGGACTGCACATCTGGGGGCACCTGTAGACCTTGAGAAGAAGTACAAGCCGGAACAAGGGTCTATCTGACCCTGAACTGACCCCACTGCCCACAACAGTGCCAGAGAAATCCCCAGATATATTTTTACTATTATCACTTTGTAATTTAAAAAAAAATTATTTATTGCTCTTTTAACTTTCATTTTTATAGCCTACTATTACCTTTCTGGATAAAAAGAAAGACACATTTTTTAAAACAAATTCCATATATATATATTTTTCATTTTTCTGACTTATTTTCTTTTGTATTATTTATATTGAATTTTTGAGAGTCAAATCTCTAATTTTTAATCTTTGCTTTTTTATATTTGCTATCAATTTTGTACCTTTAGGAATCTAATCTTCATTATCCATTTTCACTAAGGGACTTGATTACTGGCTTGACTGCTCTCTCCCCTTTTAACTCTTCCTTTTCTCCTCCCGGTCATGTCTATCCCCTTTCTCCCTCTTCTTTTGTTTATAAAACTCTATGAATCTCTCTGGGTGTTCCTGGCTGTGCAGAGTTGCTTCACCATTAACCTAGAGGTTCTATCTTCTGTGCTGTATGGATGGAGAAGTCTTGACACTCTTGTAGGAGGAGGACCAAAACCCTAAGGCAGGAGGCTCAACTCCAGAACTTTAGAATATCAGAAAACTCTTGACTCCAGGGAACATTAATAGACAAGAGCCCACCAAAAGTCTCCATAACTACACAGAAACCAAGCTCCACCCAAGAGCCAACAAGCTAACTAAGCTAATTAACACCACACTAATTCTCCAAAAAAAACACAACCCTGAACATTAAAAGATGGGCTGCCCAAAGCCATACCAAACCCACAGACATCCCCAAACTCACTACTGGACACTTGATTGCAGTCCAGGGAGAAGAGATCCAGTTCCACCCATCAGAACACAGACACAAGTTCCCCCAAGGAAACCCAGAAAAGCCACTGGTCCAACCCCACCCACAGGGAGCAGACTTCAAAATTAAGAGGAACCACAACCTTCTAACCTTCAGAAAGGAAACCCCAAACACAGCAATCTAAACAAAATGAAAAGGCAGAGAAATATTCATCAGATGAAGGAATGTGACAAAAACCCATCAAACCAAACAAAAGAGGAGATAGGGGGTCTACCTGAAAAAAAATTCAGGATAATGATAGTTAAGATGGTCCAAAATCTTGAAAACAAAATGGAGTTACAGATAAACAGACTAGAGACAAGGATTGAGAAGAAGAAATGTTTAACTAGGACCTAGAAGAAATTAAGAAGGGTCAATCAATAATGGGCAATGCAATAACTGAGATTAAAAACAATCTGCAGGGAACCAACAGTAGAAAAACTGAGGTAGAAGAGAGGATAAGTGAGGTGGAAGACACAATGGTGGAAATAAATGAAGCAGAGAGTTAAAAAAGAAAAAAGAAAAAAAGAAATGAGGACAACCTCAGAGACCTCTGGGATGATGTTAAATGTCACTATATTCAAATCATAGGTGTCCCAGAAGAAGACAAAAAGAAAGGGATAAGAAAAAACTTGAGGAGATAATAGTCAAAAACTTCGCTAAAATGGGGAAGGAAAAGTCATCCAAGTACAAGAAACCCAGAGAGACCCAAACAGGATAAACCCAAGGTGAAATGCCCGAAGACACATATTAAACAAACTAACAAAAATTAAACACAAAGAGCAAATATTAAAAGCAGCAAGGGAAAAGCAACAAATAACACACAAGGGGATAAGAATAAAAGCTGATCTGTCAATAGAAATTCTTCAGACCAGAAAAGAATAGCAGGACATACTTAAAGTGATGAAAGAGAAAAACCTACAACCAAGATTACCCTACCCAACAAGGATCTCATTCCGATATGAAGCAGAAATCAAACGTTTTACAGACAAGCAAAAGCTGACAGAATTCAGCACATCAAACCAGCTCTTCAACAAATGTTAAAGGATCCTCTCTAAAGAGGAAACACAGAAAGGGTTTACAAAAACAAACCCAAAACAATAAAGGAAAGGGTAAAGGGATCATACTTATCAATAATTACCTTAAATGTAAAGAAAGTTACCTAAAATAATTACCTTAAATGAAAAGAAAATTTTGGGGTTAAATGCACCAACCAAGAGACAGACTGGCCAAGTAGATACAAACGCAAGACCCCTATATATGCGGTCTACAAGAGACCACCTCAAACCTAGGGACACATACAGACTGAAAGTGAAGAGCTGGAAAAGATATTTCATGCAAATGGAGACCAAAAGAAAGCAGAAGAAGCAATACTCATATCAGACAAAACAGACTTTGAAATAAAGACCATGATGAGAGACAAAGGACACTACATAATGATCAAAGGATCAATCCAAGAAGAAAATATAACAATTATAAATATATACGCACCCAACATAGGAGCACCTCAATACATAAGGCAAATGCTAACAAGTATGCAACGGGAAATTAACAGTAACAGTAATAATGGGGACTTTAATACCCCACTCACACCCATGAATAGATCAACAAAACAGAAAATTAGCAAGGAAACACAGCTTTAAATGATACAATAGACTAGTTAGACCTCATTGATATCTACAGGGCATTTCAACCAAAAACAATGGATTTCACCTTTTTCTCAAGAGCACATGGAACATTCTCCAGGATAGATCATATTCTAGGCCACAAGTCGAGCTGCGGTAAATTTTTAAAACTTGAAATCATTTCAAGCATCTTTTCTGATCACAATGCAGTAAGATTAGATATCAACTACATGAAAAAAGCTATTAAAAAAACAAAAAACATACTGAGGCTAAACAACACATGTCTGAGCAACAGATCACGGTAGAAATAAAAAAGTAAATCAAAATATGCATAGAAAGAAATAAAAATGAAAACACAACAATCTAAAACCTATGGGATTCAGTAAAATCAATGCTAAGAGGGATATTCATGGCAATACAAGCCTACCTCAAGAAACAAGAGAAACATCAAACAAACAACCTAACTTTACACCTAAAATAACTAGAAAAGGAAGAACACAAAAACACCAAAGTTAGGAGAAGGAAACAAATCATAAAAATTAGAGCAGGAAAAAATGAAAAAGAAATGAAGGAGACTCTAGCAAAGATCAACAAAACTAAA